AAGCCTCTGTGAAATGCCCCTCCAATGTCACTAGCGCTTCTGAGCTTGTTATGGATTAAAGTCAACGTACCTGCGCTGATATCTCGAAAAGTACACATAGTGTTGTCCTTGGCGTAAGTGAGCAGAACTTCCACTGACATGTCCCTCCTATGCCCATTTCCGTATCGGAAACACACGCGTTGCGGACGTTACCACTTGCACAACATCCGAGGACACCTTCGATGCGTAGGCCATTGCCTGTCTTCACCTGAAACACACACGTCAAAACAAATTGGTAATTTACCATGGGGGATCAGAGGATGGGTCAGGAGATCCATGTAGCGGTGACACGCGTCAACTAGCTAGTATAGTCATGATTCCATCAAACGATAGGGCGTGTGACGCGGCGCGTATCGGAGCGCAGCCCGGGCGCCTTTTTTCAAGCAATGAGCCTTCCAGAACCCACTGCAAATGGTGCGAAATCCGCGCGGGCTGCGCTCCAAGCCGCGCAATGGCCACCGTTTTCAGAGATCGTGACTGTACTTCCTGGCTAGTTGACTCAACATACTGAAACTTCCGCTTTTGATCAGTTAGGTGCTGGAGCGAATGCCGCGCACGCGACTACCGCCTTTCGGATCTCCGCCGCAAGGTGGATTTCATGTCCCCGACCCCCTCGAAATCTGGCTGCTACGCTAGAAATACCTCAATTGACCTTCACAACAATACCAGATCAACTACAATTTATGCGTGACACATCAAAAATAGAGTACATAAAGGTCACCCTAGCAGGGATCTCCCAACTCACACCCTCCCCCCCCCGCCAAACCCAATTTTATGAGGCACAACTTCACAACCATGAACTAACAATAGCTCAGTTACCTCGCAGCTCTTAGATGATGCCATGGGGACTCTTTCCGGTAGATGAGTACATCCGGAGTCCTTAGGTTCGGGAAGACGTCCCAACTCATAATTACTGATTACTTCCTAATCGCTTCAGGAAGACTAACTGACTTGCTACTGTGGACTTCTAGTGACGTCATGGCTGCACTCTTAATCGTTAATCGACCTGCATATAAGCGATCTTTCCAGTCATAGTCGAGCCCGATCCCGGCCATGGAAAGCCTGGTTTCACTCAACTTCTTCAGTCTAGGCTACCGTCCCCCCCCCCAGACTACATTTGCCCCAACTCCTCGTGCTTCTCTTTACTTCAAGGCCGCGAAAACTACTCTTACACTTCAGCTGTTAATCCTGTCGAAGATCATTCCAGAGATGTATCTATTAAAAACCACAATAATAGGCGCATTTACCTCCATCGTCGCGTTGAATCCCATTTTCAGCTGACCGTTGGCATCTTTGTCGAACGCTCTTTGATAGGTCTGCTTGAACAACACAGACGATTGAATGGTCTCCACACCACATGCCCTGAAAACTTCGAGTAAATTGCCGTAAATACGTGAAACCCTATTCATATAAACGAAACTGAACCACACTGGCTTGGATGTTGCAAGTTCGACTCCCAGTCATACGAATGTTGCCCTCATCGTGATCAGTTTCACGCGCATTGTCAAATGGTCACCAGAGTGAGAGGAACTTCACTCAGGCGTCTACTACCTTGCATTAGGCCCGTGTTAGAGCGCTAATCCAGGTCGCTGCGGGGGCATCGCACGCGCGAAATGAACTGGGGAGACGTTCAAAGCCTCTGTCAACTTAAAGACAGCCCCCGCGCTCAAGTAACTCATGGTCAGTCCTTCCTTGTACAAATAGTCCAGCTTCCAAGCTAAGAGAGTGTCCCACTCTCGCGACTCTATAGCGAGCGAGGAGTCGCGAGAAGCGTGGGAGAGTCCGCTGAAGTTCAGTTGCTAACGCCCGCTGCAGTTGGACGGCGCCCACTGCTTAGATGCCCTCTGACGGAGGCGCCCTATCGTTCTCGTGTTTTTGGGCGGCGGGCTTGATCGAATTGGCAATGTACTTTTTGGCTGACGCGCTCGTGCCCATAAACTTTTCTGCTCTCCTAATACTAACAATTTTATTCATCGAAGCATATAGAGGCCAACTGCACCCATTTCCAGGTAAAACGCGTAAAAAGATGCATGGGTGATGGCAATTTTGTTGGTGGCAAAAGCTCGCGCTCTAAAAGATGCACGCTACCGTAACCCTAAATTCGTACGCCGAATCGTTGGAAGCTTTTTTTGACAAGAGTTTTCCGTCGGTGTTTTTGTTGTTTTTCGCATTCTTTTCTTTGCACTAGATGATATCTCTTACTGGGAGATGAGAAAAAGCGATTTTTTAGCCAGGGGTTGTACAAAGACACCAGGACGGTGTGACTGCCAGGGAGCGATCTTGTTTATGGTGTTCTTGAGGACCTCTTGCTTTTTTTCTTCTTTGGGCAATTAATCCTTGGGCGCTACTATTTCAATAACTGAAACAAGCATACTATCCATATGAACTTTATCGCGGGAGCTGTCCTTTAAATAGCTGCGCGTCCGATTCTATCTCCCAGGTCAACTCGTACAGCGATGTCGCAACTGGGAGACTAGGCGTACTACTCTACTACATACTCCGCTAGGACAGAGTACTGGATCTGGATCAAGCAGAATTCCCACAAGTAGTTCTCGAAATGCTATCTCCAAGTTTTTAAACCTTCGAATTTGGATAATTCGAATCTTTGCTTGCGTTTGCCTAATTTATGGACTCAATGAATCTCAGTAGAAGGACTGGCACTGTCACTTCTTTTCCGACAGCACAAAAGCTTCTTCCAAGGACATCTTTGGCCGTTACCTGTCCCTTGTTCCTCTGCCCCCCTTATTTCGTGTTTTTTTTTCATCAAAAGTACACTCCCCATTGTGGATGCGAGCCACTGGACCAGCTTCAGTCAAGCTGCGCCTGCTCAGCCATGACCGTGGCCTGAACATGTTTGGCTCCGCCCTGCGAAAATGACGAATCCTCACACACTTCTAGAAAGCTCCTGCTCATTCATAGCTAGGGCAGCGGAAAGGAAGGCGCCATGTCAGAAGTGAATGATCAATCATTGCTTCATCATTTTTACAGGCCATATTAAGACATTTTACGACGTCCTCGGCTCACTTCTTCGCACCCAACACGCCGTTAACGACAGCAATTTGACATAGACCGTTCCAGATGTACAACCACTTTTGATCTCACTGGTTCCGCACAATCTGTCGCGCCCGCAAAACAAAGGCTTGCATTAAACACAGCAAAATCGCGACGAAACTTCAAGGCTTAGTCCTGTATTGTATGGGCCGAGGACAGTCATGGTCGCTCTTAAAGCGCCACTGCTTTAAAGAGGCGCGGAGAGGTGAGACACTCAATGGATGAAGGGAAAATACTGAGAGTGACTCCGCCCACACGATCAGCGTGGATTTCTGCCTTTATAGCAGTAATAAAGTGAATCGTTTTCCCCCACCCACTTCGACTTCGACTGGCTGACCAGACAGACCGAGGTTCCGTTGTATCCTAAAACACCCCCAAACTCTTATAGTTCCTTCTTATCTTGGCATGAGTCATTAGTGGTACTGAGAGAAGTTCCCGAGATTGCCACATCTAACAGACATGTCGTACGTTGCGGATTCCTTGTTGGACGGCAGTTTTTCGGAATCGCAGGGGAAAACTCGGGAAATGGTATGCTGGGAGGCTTTAGAAATATGGAGGTGATATGGGAGAAAAGGGGTAATACCGGAGAAGAAAATTACGAGGGGAGAGTCGTAAGTAGTAAAGTTCCTCGCGAACGGCAGGACTTGTCTGTTTCAACATGCGCTTTTCCGGGCTTCCTGCGCCTTCAATCAGCAGCCCTAAAGGTTGGGAAACAGAGAGGGAAGACTATGCTTTTGCTCAGCTTCCACCCAAGGGCACATGCGGGAAGGGAGCTGAGCTAGCCCTTTGCTTCCTACCTAAATACCTCCTCAAAATTTCTCATCTGTTCGATTTTTCAGTATTGTCCATGGTTTTTTCAATGATCATTCTTTGCTCAGTTCTTGACTGGATCAATCTCAAGTATTTCTCGACTTCTCAGGCTTTGAAGAAGGTGGAAAAGCCGGAACATCGGGCGAATAAAGTCGTAGCAAAGTTCTTGGAATGCTCCATCGAGATTATTCATATCCCTAACTTCAAAATGCACTGCTCGAGGCTCCCCAAACACGAGTTAGCTTGAAGGTCGGCCATCAATATCTTAACCACCTCGCAATCCGAAACCCTACGAGTTGTTTGAACCGGTCAAATTTTAGGGATCCTGGAAGAGGCAATTAGATCTAACATCGCTTGGCAGAAGTGAGTAGATAGTGAGAACATTAATCCGGCCAGTGGCGCTCAGTTATCCTTTTATAACGGAACACAACGCCATAATGATAATCTGGCGTCAGCAAATTCAAGCAACAGGTTTTATCGGCCCCTATTGATTCGATGCGCTTTCATGCGTTAGATAAAGACATTCTGAAAGGATGAAAAAATGGATTGAATAACTATGAACCATCCAAGGTCTCCCAAGACCCGGGAGGCTTAAAGTTCGCTGTTCATTTCTCTTCAATTAGCGTTTTCGCTGAAGTCTCAACCTGATATTTTAGAATGAAGGTTTTGGGGGCCAAAGCGGACGAAGAGATTCACAGACGTGAGGCCGAACCGCTGGAGCATACACAGTCGTCAAGAGGTCCGGCTACACGAGGGGGGGGGGCGGAATTCGTAGGAGCAGAAAAGCTGCGCAAGTGGGGGGGGGGGGGAATTTGCAGGAGCCCAAAAGCTTCCACTTCCAAGAAATCCTTCCTCGAATGCGTCACTCAGCACTTCACTCAGCATCATAGGCAAGGGAGACGGACAAGACAATCGTAAATGTCGCGTCGTCGCGTGCGGCGTATCAAGCAGCGAGCGCGACGAAATTCTGACGTGTAATACTTACTCATTTGGGGCAGCGAAGAAACTCCTACGAATTCAAGTAGAGAGATTCCATCACGGGTCATATCAAGTGTTCCAGTTCCTCTGACGATTGAATTCAAACGGCCGGCCAGGACAACTCGTCCGTAGGATGGGGCGCTGCTTGCCCATCATATTACTATTGTCCTGTCACATAACCATTCTTGAGTGTGATTTCGTGCACATATAAATCGCGAATGTCGGCCGATGTACAATTCAGCCAGTCAGCATCCTCTAGAGAGTTTGGTACCGATGCTGTGAGCTCGAAACAATATAAGTCCTGATTGGCACAGCGAAGGTCGATACGGTGCTCTCCACCCCCCCCTCCTACCAATCGTTGGTCACTGCATTCTCCTCTACTACAAATCTATCAATGTAAAATAACCACCTCCTGTAGAATTGAAGCAATTCTTCATCTCCAAAAGACCGGTCTGATCCAGTGCACACGAATAAATGTCTATCGCATGTCCATTTTTCACAGCACGGCTGGCCAGCGAATCATAGAATTTAGTCGCCTTAAAATAAAGAATATGTTATTCTAACAAAGCGAACAAAGCAGAAAGGGTCTGGATGGACCAGTTGTTGGTTAGGAAGTCCACGCTGTGGCAAACGCGACGTTACAAGTGCCGAAAAGCGCGTGAAACTCACACCAGGACCTAAATGATTTAACGCAGGAAGGCTGCGCCACAATGAGTCAATTAGCTAATTTGGCGTCGCCACAACCTAGACATCCCATCCATCCCCGAATAGACCCCCCATGCCACTTTAAAGAGAACCTTTTTCATGTAGATGGCGTTATCTTCCTTGATGGTATGCCATGAGCGAATCGGAAGTTTAAGTTCTTCACCAACGACTGCACCAGGTCCATGGGTGCAGGCTCCACCGAACGAAGCCATGATGCGGGCGCCAGTGTTGGGGAAGCATTGCTGCAATATG